TGCGGGAAAAAAGAGGAGAGCAAAAAGGAGAAAAAAGGTAAAGACAAAGATGACAAAACACCTAAAATAATTCCTAAGAAAACATCAAGTGAATTGCTACCAACACCTAGCTTAGGCCTCATAAAAAACGGAAATAAAGGCAGTTACAATGTTAAAAAAGAAAAACTGATGGAGGATATTTTTTATTTGGGAGCATTCCGTAAAGAAACTGTAACTGCTTTCAGAAATTCATTTATTAAAGACACGGATGGTCTGATAGGAGCGACCGAAGAGTTCGCCCCAGTAGTTCTCAAATCAAGGACAAGAACTGAAAGTCGCGTGCTTAAACAAAGAGCTACAATTAAAGAAGTATTTGGTGATGAACGACCTGCTTCAGCGCCTCCAACATCTTGCCGAGAAGAAGAAGAAGTTCCGGAAGAAAAGGAGATAAAAGTTACTGAGATTAAAAAGGAACCAGAATCCAAACCTAAGTTTAAACCTAGGAAGATTGTCAAAGATAAACTGAAACGAAGATCTAGTTCAATCAGGGATGGGCTTAGAAGCACAAAATCATTAAAAAGAAACGATGCTAAGGGTCGACTTATGCGTTTAAAGAAAAGAAATAGCATAATGAAATCATTGAATCACAAGAGAACTAAAGAAATCAGCAAATAAACATAAAAACGAAAATACTACTCCAGAAGATAAAGACAAAACAAAAGTAGAAGGTAGTTCTCTGGTTCCAACTGAAGGTGTGAATACAAAAGACGACTGAAGCGCCTTTTTGGTAGAAGAAAATTTAGTTCGGGATTTGATTATATCAGAAAGAAGAAGAAGATTATACGCAGAGAAGAAGCGGCCACAAAAATACGGAGACCTGCTGCTAAGCCCAGTCCAGAATCAGTTCATGACATCAAAAAGAAATCAAAGGCTGGTTCATTAACAAGAGCATTGGAGAAACGCATCTCCATAGAGCTGCTAGACTTGGATACACGGTAAGTATCTTGTACACACGGACTGTAGTATATATTGTACTAATTCAGACAACTAGGTACCTACTAACGATTTTATTCCATTGACAGGATTGTGTGGCGTATTGTTTGGAGAAGTTGGAGTCGGATCCTTCAGCCAAAGATAACGCAGGCTTCACACCTTTACATGTGGCGGCCGCGAAGGGTCATGTTAGAATAGCTCGACTTCTCCTGCAGTACGGTGCTAACGTGTCAGCGGCTGCTCAGGGAGGAATCAGGTCAGTTTCAAGTCTAATAAAATACAATATACGAAACATTATTTCGGTTTATAAGAATTCTATCTAATGTCTTATATAATTGATTTACAGACCTTTACATGAAGCTTGCGAGAATAGTCACGTGGAAGTCATACGTCTACTTCTGTCATACGGCGCGGATCCACTTCTCGGAACATATTCTGGTCAGACCCCAGAGGAACTGACAGAGGGTCCTGCCTCAACATTACTGAGATTACACATCGCCGACGTACAGGGAAATGCAATTGAACCTTGGCGGTTTCCACCACCAACAGAACTGATAGGTACGGCAAATTTTTGACAAACTTATTTTGTTGGTTTAAAACTTTAAAATGTTCTTTCCGGTTTCTGCAATATTTTAACAATTTTATTTGAATTAAAAAGTATCATATAATTTTCAGATCGTGAGGAGATGGGCTGCGATCCTCTTTCGTCGCCTCCTCCCGCTTCACCGCCGCCGCCCCCGGACTCTATGATCGAGATTCAATGCACTGAGGCTCCACTGCCGCCCTTCTACAGTCTGAGAACACCCGCTGGCCAACCAGCTGACGGCTTGTGGTGTTTGTTGCAGGACATCACTAATTTATTGCAGGTAAAAATTAAAAATTCGTCTTTGAGTACCTACTATTGAATAAACTGCATCATACAAATTAACTAAAAATCGCAGGTTACTCACGTGAATATACTGAGAAAAGTTCTACCAGTTCCGAACCACAGACGGGTTCTTCTTCATGAGCAGCATGCGCAGTCGCGGCGATGTCGGGCAGTTTACTGCGCATACCATAGCGATAACTAGTAGAGCTTTTCACAGTATATTTACACAAGTAACTCGCGATTTTTAGTTAATTTAGTATGTCTCACGATAGTTATTATAAAATCATACAGATTGTGTATATTTATGCTTACTGTTTTTTGTTTTCAGATCAAATCAAAGGATAGTCTTCTAAAACAGATCCATTGTGGGTCTGGATCACCGAAAGAGTTGTTGCGCGAGATTCGTACACAGGAGTTTTTGGAACGAGCCCAGTGCCACCAACTGCTCGGCGCCGGAGAGAAAGTCAACGTGCGCGCTTCAAAAGTGGCGCTCGTCAGGGTGACCGACAAGTTGAGGCAACTGCTCAAGATTGAAACTGTACTGGTTAGCTGACATTAGGATAAATTCTAAGGCCACTCAGTGATCAAATAAAACTTAATTCTCTTTTACGGACGTAACGATTTGAGGCCTAAGTTAACCAAGTTAACCTCGTTTGGTTAAAGGTAATTTTACGTTCGTCTTTCGAAAGTATGAAACTGTTGTAAAATGATGTTAGTGACGTCATTATATTTTATGTGAATAAAGCGATTGTTCGTAAGACGCAGTCGCTACAATCCTGTAGACAAGTTTATTATTTATGCTATGAGTAGCAATTAAATTAATTGTCATGTTATTATTTCATGGCATAGGTTCATATAAAATTGTTTTTAAATAAACACATAACACACGCGTTTGATTGGAGACGGCTCAATAACGAGATCTTAATACCAAGCTTGACTGATTATTGTTATGTAACATGTATCTCATTTAAGAACAATATTATAAACATATTCGTTTTATGAGACTGTGTATTTTAAGGCAGCCATTTCATAATCAATTAATTTTTGTCTCACTATAAAGTCTGGCTTGTGAGATGTTGTGTATGCTAATGAACAACTTGTATGTAAATATTGTAAATAGTTATAGTAATAATGCGTATAGATGTTGCTTTAAATGTTCGATATTCTCATGGGTGCTATTTAACGTTGGTGTATGGTGTATGGGGTAGATAGGCGAGATGATTAGTGTAATTATATTAATAATATTAGGAAATTAACGACATGTAGTTACCACACTGTTAATTTTAAGGCGTTAGCATAATCTTATACTGTGTGTGCAATAGTATACGTGGTTATTCTTGAACATTGTAGATGATTTATATTATTACCTATTTGGAGTGAAGGTATCAAGTCACAGGGTTGGATGGCCTTATGCACGCGACTGTTGTACTTAAGTCATCGCGCATGAACAAGTGCAGTATCGTATGCAAGTAGATTCTATGAACATTATCGTGCGCTCCTCTCATGTCCTCTATCACTGTTATTTCTTGTTATCGATACATCACCTATGAACTATTCTGTTATCAAATAATGTTTTGAGATTATGCTAGTAACTTCTTTATCAATTTTTATTTATAATATGGCTGTTCTTTGTTATGTTTGCTAATATTGTCTCCCCAAAATATTAATATTGTACAATATTTTACTTTAATTATAAAATGAGTTATGTTTTTATATTTATACAACCATGTAAAAAGTAGGAAAATTTATTAAATCATAATACGCATATCGCAAAAAATAATTATTAATGTAAATAAGATAAAACTGCAATCAAATTATTTTTTAACTTCTTTGGAGCGGCGCAAATATCTGATATAAAATAATGCCGGTGAAGTCTGATATTACATTTTTCAAGTCAGCACACAAACTTCTGTATAATATTTTGGGACGCTATACGAAGTAGGTAAGCAATAGTCAAGGCCATGTTCCGCCCTATCTATTTATTTCTTTGTGAAATCAAGAAACGAAGAAGTACATTATTAATCTGTGATGAAATATTATTAGGAGAATTGCGCGCGGAAAAATGTATGAAAAATAATGATAATTTTTGGAGTAAATGTAACTAACGATTTATACAGAATTGTATACTTTTCTGAATGGTATCGAGATCGTGTAATGTTTTATCTGTTTTAGCTATACCTACAATATAAGTATTACTATAATTATTGACTCTTATTTCTTGTTGATAACATGGAAAATAAAACCGTGAACAATGCAAATGTTTTTTATTCCCCATCCTCTCGGTAATTATTATTATTCATACAATGTTAATATACACGGACATTCTAGTGTTCACGTTCAATATACATGAATTGAACGCTCTACTGCATTCCCAACGGAGCTGCTGTCTGCTACATTAATATTAATGTAGCCCTACAATATCACTTACTCCTATTAAGTAGGTACCTAATAATAATTGAATAGGTAGACTTTTTAGCGCCATTTATATGCTGAACGATAGGGAGAGGTGCCACTATACCTACAATATACACCTACTTTTCATAGTTGTGAGATAACTAACTAGGTACCTAATAATAACTAGACTCGTTGCTACTACTGAGAGGAAAATCCGAATAAACCCAATGCTACTTTGCCCAATCGAATGAACCCGAGATGCTTACTCGCACTCACGGCAAACTTGACCAAGAATGTCAACATAAACCTACGCTTTTCTCAATTTTATTACATATCGTATTATTAATTATTACATACTTCAAATAAATAAACGGACTTGGACTGTAAAATTTTTTTTTGTATAATTTGAACTTACGACTGGCAAATCGATATAAATACATCGATTTAAAGAGAATAGTATGTTTCAAGTGTATTCTTAGCCTAAATTCCGGGGTTGCAAGACCTTAAAAGCTTAAAACGTCAAATTTGACAGACGTACATCACTAAAGTTGAATGAATGCTTTCTGTTGAATGAAAATCGAGGCTGACTTGGGCGAGGCTTCGTTTTGAGTGTTTGTCATCATCAAGCTATTTTCAAATAAGAAACGAATTTTAAAATGAAACTGTGATAAATAAAGTCTGCAAAACACGTGTCCTGTAACACAATACTAATTTCGGTTGGTGACATGAAAATAATGATATATATTTTTTCATTGTGTCATAGAAAATGAAGTGTGTTTTGTTAATACTCGCTCTGACGAGTACGGCGAGGAGTCAGGTTCCCGATTCTATTGGTACGTTTAATCCAAACTATCCTCAACAAACCTACCAAGATAACAATCAGAATGGAAGTATATATCGTCCAAACTCTCAAGTACCCTATGGCAGTTTTCCAGTGAACGGTAACGATTACAATTCGGGTCAGAGTTCGTTTTATCAAGACAATTTTAATTCTGATAATTACGGTAACAATGATAACGAGGTTGACCCTCAAAACACGGCGACGTATTACGCCGGCTTGGACTACGAAGAGAGATACAGGTGTCCGCCTAATTGGATCAGGTTCCGAGAATCATGTTACCGTTTCACTAAGTCGCCAGACCGCCCACGAAATGAGGCCCGTAAAATTTGTTTAGCTTATGAAGCCGACCTGGCGTCGGTCAATAGTCCTGAAGAGCATGGATTTATTATTACCAATCTAATGAGATTAGACCCACAGAAGGGTTCCTGGTACATTGGCGCTCACCAACAGTCTCCAGGGTATTGGTCGAACGATGCTGATGGTTCTCAGTTAACTGGATTAGAAAATGCATTTTTCAATGATCATTCACAAATATACACAAGTTATAACATATTACCTCGTGACTATTTGGTGTACAAATTCTCACACCAGGATGGTCGCTGGGGACTGTCTCCTGTTGAGGGCACACAGTACTATCATTTTATTTGTGAAGGACAGACACAGAGACTGCATTATCTTATTGAAGAAGAAAGATCTTTCACATATGGACTAGAAACTTATGATCCTGAGAGGATTCCTAGAGGGCCTTACTTTATAAAGGAGCCAGTTGATACCATTTACGATCCTATGAGGAACTACCATGTTCAGTTAACTTGCATTGCTGGTGGGTACCCTGCACCTGTCTACAAGTGGTACAGAGAAGAATATCAGGTAGACAACCCTGTTTACACTGAGATTGATCCGCTGGTTGATACCAGATTTGTCCTAAGTGGTGGAACACTCATGATTTACACTCCTGACACTGATAAAGACAATGCAAGATATCACTGCACAGCTTCCAATAAATTCGGTACTATCCGGTCAGAGTCAGTACGCTTATCTTTTGGTTTTATTAGAGAGTTCAATCAAAAGAGATCTGTTGAAAGTGGTAATCAATACTGGGGCAAAGTAATGTACTGTGATCCACCATCTTATTATCCTGCCGTGAACTTCTTATGGGCACGTAACTATTTCCCTAATCTTGTAGAAGAAGACAAACGAGTCTTTGTGTCTTATGATGGTGGACTCTACTTCTCTGCTTTAGAAACCATTGACAGGGGAAACTACAGCTGTAATGTCATGAGTAAGGTGTCTGATGCAGGCCGCAATGGACCTTTCTTCCCATTGTATGTCTACCCACATTCTGATTATCAGCATCTAAAATTCCCAAATAATTTCCCGAAAGTTTTCCCTGAAGCACCAGTAGTTGGACAGGAAGTACGCCTCGAATGTGTGTCTTTTGGTTATCCTGTACCTTCTTATAACTGGACCAGGAAGAATGGCAATATGCCAAAGAGAGCACGTCTGAGTAACTATGATCGTGTCTTAACAATACCCAATGTTGGAGTAGAAGATGAAGGAGAATATATTTGTGATGTAAAGAATGACCGGGCACATATATCTAACAGTGTCTTCCTGAAGGTCCAAGCTAAACCTAACTTTACTATTCCCCTAGCAGATAAGCACATGGATAATAAAGGCGAATTGCATTGGAATTGTGAAGCATTCGGTATTCCAGATGTTAACTATACTTGGTGGAAAAATGGGCAGAAATTGACAATGGATACTCTAGAGCCTGATGATAGAGATCGATATGTAATTCAAGATAATGTATTAATTATTAAATACTTAGACCCAACTAGAGATCCCGGAATGTATCAGTGTGAAGCCAAAAATCAACTGAAAGCCAGTTATTCCACAGGACAGTTACGCGTATTGTCTTTAAAACCGTCGTTTAAAAAGCGTCCTCTTGAGTCTGAAACCTACGGTTCTGAGGGTGGTAATGTTACGTTAAAATGTAACCCCGAGGCTGCTCCTAAACCAACTTTTACTTGGAAAAAAGATAATATCGTAATCGGTGCTGGAGGCAAAAGATTTATTGCCGAAACTGGAAACCTTATAATTCGACAGCTATCTAGAGATGACGAAGGTGTTTATACATGCGTGGCTAAAAACCAATATGGAACTGATGAAAGTAGAGGACGACTCATTGTACTACGCGCACCACGCTTCCTTGAAAGACTTCCTCCTAGAATCACAACACAAGTTCATCAAGTGGTTTTCTTACATTGTAGCGCTGAAATAGACCCGATGCTAGATACAGCGTACCTCTGGAATCACAACGGTATTCGTATGAAGGAAGCCGCAGATCTGTATGCTGATAAAAGAATAAAAATCGATGGAGGAGAACTGACTATTCTAAATGTTAGTTTGTCTGATGTCGGAGACTATGAATGTGTAGTAAAGTCAGCTATTGGACGGATATCTTCCCACACTCAGCTGCGTATCGAAGGACCACCGGGTCCTCCTGGTGGCTTGCAGACCCTCAATATACAACGATCTTCTGTTACACTGGAATGGACGGACAGCAATTCGAATGGTCGTCCAATCATTAGTTACATGGTCACAGGTCGCACACACTGGAACGCGACGTGGTATACGATCAGCGAAAACGTCGCTAATGTTATAGAAATTGACCGATACAATGGACGTAAACGTGCGACAATAGTAACGACTTTAATGCCGTGGGCCATTTATGAGTTTAGAGTCCAAGCCGTAAACCAGTTGGGTCCTGGAAAACCTTCAGCGCCTAGTCCACAATTCTCTACTCCTGCCGATAAGCCGTATGAAGCGCCCGCTAAGGTGGGAGGTGGAGGAGGAAAAACCGGTGACCTCACTATTACATGGAATCCTTTGCCATCATCTTTACAGAATGGACCAGGAATTTATTACAAGATATTCTGGCGACGCAATAGTACGGAGGTCGAATTCCAGTCGTTGTCTCTTAAGAAGTATGGCAATATCGGGACTTATGTGGTTCACATATCGACCACTTATTTCTACACACCGTACGATGTCAAAGTGCAAGCTTTTAACGACATCGGCGCAGGCCCTGAGAGCCAAGTGGTGACAATATACTCCGCGGAAGACATGCCGCAGGTCGCTCCACAGATGGTGTACGCAAGGTCATTCAACTCTACGTCTTTGAATGTGACATGGAACCCCATCGACCAGTCTCGAGAGAGACTGCGCGGCAAGCTTATAGGTCATCGTCTCAAGTACTGGAAGCAAGCAAATAAGGAAGAAGAATGTATTTACTACTTGTCCAGAACGACACGCAACTGGGCTCTAATTGTGGGACTGCAACCCGATACTTATTACTTTGTAAAGGTAACTAAAATATATTTTATTAGATAAATTTAATAATTCTTTCGATCTTCATTTTTCAAATTGATGATGAGATGAAATAAACGTCAAAGAAATTGTACGTTCTGTTTATAGGTAATGGCGTTCAACTCTGCGGGTGAGGGACCGGAGAGTGAGAGGTACTTGGAGCGGACGTTCCGTAAGGCACCACAGAAGCCGCCAGCGTCTGTCAACGTATGGGCGTACAACCCCACCACCGTCCGTGTCGTGTGGCGATACGTGCAGCCGACTGAGGAGGAGGAACCTCTGCTCGGATATAAGGTACTCACACTTTGATTACAATCTATTATATTAGGCACGTGCACTTTTTGTTTCACCCAGACAGTAAATGGTCTTGAGATCCTTCTGTAGTCAGATATTTTGAAGTGATTTGTTATTTCACAGGTGAGAGTATGGGAGATCGATCAAGATATGAGCACAGCCAATGACACTATAGTTCTAGTCGAGCACAAGCTCGAAGCCTACGTCACGAATCTCACGCCAGGCAAGTCTTACAACTTGCGTGTTCTCGCGTACTCAAATGGTGGGGACGGCAGAATGTCTTCGCCGGCTATCACCTTCCAAATGGGAGACTACCACACTGACGCCTACAGTTACTCGGCACGAAGCTCCGCCCAAACTCTACATGTACAAACTCTAGTATTATTCACATCTGTTCTTTTATTTTTCTCTCTTAAATGTATAATTTCGTGATGGTAGCTTTGCAGTTATGAAGGCAGTCGAGTACTATAAAACAATTATGTATTTCTTTTTATCAATGCTGAAGCATTCCTTTTTTTTGTTATCTGATACTATTAGGTTGTGACATGTATCCGGCCATTTTTTTCGTTCAGAATCAGAACTCTAATAATGATATTATATTTATAATTTTATTTGGTTTAAAAGCTACTTAGGGACTATTTAGAACTTTAAGTTAGATTTATTTGTGTCTTGTGCATACATAAATTTATCTGTTTGTTTCAATTCCGACCAAACTCTCACTATTTATCTCGAATAGCACAAAACAGTTGTTTTTTTCTTAATTATGTGGCGACTTTTCTGTTATAAACAGGTCAAATATGTTGATAGTAGTAGATAGTTCATAACAGTAACTGATAATGTTAAAGTAGTTATACATTTTTCTCTTAATATGTATATTCTGCTATTTTTGTACTGTATAATGATTACCTGTCAATTGTTTTATTGACAATAAGTAATTTATGACATTTTAATATTACAGATTTTAAGTAAGCAGAATTTTTATATAAAATTCTTTAATATTAGGTCCATATCAAATAGGATAGATTAAGGATAATATTTTGTAATTTGTATCAGCTATTTACAACGTAGCTACCACCAATCCGAGCCATTATGTCATTGATCTGATTTATTTTTTAATATAAGCTTTATTTTTATATTTATACAAGTGTTCAAATATGTTTTAACATTTATTTTCATTTTTTAGTAAACTAAAAGGAATTATTTTTATATGGCTATTAATTTTAATGCATTACGGAACTGCAATAATTTGGTTCATAATTAGTGTTTAACAGTAAAAAATAAGAAATTGTGACGTCATAAAGACTACTTATTACGATGGACAAAGTAGTACACTACTGTACCCGCCTAACGTTTGCCTGCTGAGTGAATCAATATTTCCGATTCTTGTAGTGTACTAGATGTAAAGATATGAAATGCCTTATAAATGTTAAAATTATCATTGTAATATGTATCTGTTTCCAGTAAAAATTTTAAGAAAATGTTGTGTTTTTGTAGTGTCATCACACCCTTACAAGCACGGCCACCTGGGGCCCTTGGGTACACAATCATTCGACGCCTTTTTGGAATGTATTTTTGTTTTTTTAACCCAGACCCGAAACAACAATTTGTGGAGCACACAAAGATTTGCTCCGTGCGGGAATCTAACCCGCTATAAGTTGCGCGGCACCCGGTTACCGCGCAACGTGTAGCGGGTGCGTGTCCGTCGAAGATATTGTCGGTCCTTCGGGGGCCCTTGACGATGGAGGCCCTGAGCACGGGCCCCCGAGTGCCTTATAGTAAAGACGGTACTGATGACAAAACGTTACTGAACATAGGTACAATGGGGGCGGCAAATCGAGCGACTCTTATTACCTACTGTTCAAAATCAAGAGTCATAATGATGACTTTTTACACACCCAACAAAAAGGGGGGCGGCATAATCGGAATTTGCACGCGGCCGCTCGAATAGCTAGCGGCAGGCCTGCGTGTACCTCTACCTATTGCCGATCGTTTGGTGGATTAAAATGCATGACAAAAATACCCAATTACTATTTTTTCCCAGTTCACAACCTGTCCATCCTCTGACTTAGACCACTGGAAATAGTTCTAAATAGACATAGACAAAACTATCAATAACATTATAACAAAATTATTTTATAAACTACTTCAACCCCGTTTTTTGAAGTCTTTTTATCGAATATAATAAAACCTTCTCGTAATTGTAACAAACACTTTTCTGAAAACCTCACCAAAATTGGTTCAGCCGATAGTAGGATAATCCCGCACAAACATACAAATACAGATCAATCTTTTTTTTTAAGTCGGTTAAAAGGATAATAATGAATGTTGTGTCTTTTATATGTAATAGCTGTAGGTGCGGTATAAATCCAGTGGTAGATAGAACGATAGGTACTACGTAAACTTTATTTTGTTTCCAAATCCTAGTTACTTCGTATTTTTTCCGTAATTGTTTTAGTTAGATTGTGCGTGTTGGGGACGGCAATATCGATCAGGGGGCTTACTCTTGCATCCAATTCCGATCGATCGACATTGATATTGTAAAATTTCGTACTCTTGAATTCAGTGCCGTAACTAGCCTTCTAGGCGCCCGGTGCGAGCTTTCAAAACTGCGCCCTTGAAAAATGTCCTTACCAGGCTCTGACAATAAAATGGACAAATGTGCATGAAAATATAACTGTTTATTGTGTACCAAGTTATAGGTCGGTACTTAGTAGATGTTTTAAGACAATTCGTTGCTGCCATTCCGCCATGAGATCGCGCCAGAGCTCTTCCCGCCACGCACTTATCTGGCGCGCTACTTAACAACTGTCGCAACCGCCGTCGCCATTAAGTCGGCCGCCACCTGGTGCAACCTCCCGTGCGCTAGCACCAGCGTGTCGTTGGCGTAGCATATGATGCTAACGCCGTTCGAAAGGTCGGTGCGCAGCACCCAGTCATAGCACATGCTCCACAGGAGCGGCCCTAGAACCGAACCCTGTGGAACACCTCTGTGACATCTCTCGCCAGATCCACTCGCCCCGGTGACCGGAGTAAATGACGGACCTGTCCGTCAGGTAAGCCTCGATTACACGACGGAGGACACCCGATGATATCGGAGTGCCTCCAAGATGCAGCTCCAGGGCAGGGAGTTGAAGGCGAGACGGTTCGAAATTATTCTTTCAAAGACTTTCCCCACCTCGTCGAGCAGCACTATTTCCACGTTTTCCGCACGAGGACCAGTTTACCCGCTTTCCAGAGCCTCTGAGGACAGGACCCATGCTTTGCCATACAAGCCGTCGGGTCCTGGGGCGGTGTTCTTGGCGCCCATCCGGCACACCGCTGCTCTCAGTTCTGCCTCGGTCACCTCTGAGACGATGTCGTCGTCGTCGTCGCTATAGCTCGCGTCGGGCACCGCAGGGGGCGGAGTCATATACGGAGGGGTGAAGCCCCTCAACAGTCGGGGGAACAGGGCGCCAATCACCTCCTCTAAGACTTCTGGCCGGAGACTGAGTGAGAGGGGGAGCCCAAGCGCGGAGGACGGATGCGGCGCCTGCTGTGCCTAGTGTACTGGCGTCACGCAGTAGTGCACGCCTTGCGTAGAGCTACCAGCTCTTGCGACCACCAGTACCACCTGGCTTTTGTTGCCTCGATCGGATCCGGGGCCACGTCACAAATCCTGGACATGGCGTCCTGGAACCACTTGTCCTCATCGTCAATGTCGGCAGGCCTGAGCTGTGGTATCACCCAGGCCTGCATGATAGCGGCTTCCAGGAGCAGCTCCCGGCCCAGCTGTTTCAGCGCCCAACGCGAGACACATGGGGCCTGTCTGACCGGCGGGTCTGCGGACTCGGCGGAGACGTCGAACCGGATATACCGGTGGTCGGAGTACGTCTCCATCTCCTCCATGACGTAATAAGTACAGCTGCGGTCCCAGGGGCGAGGAGCAAGGCAGCAGCGCGTTTCTCCCTGCGCTGCTGCTGCCGTCGCTGCCGCTGCGCCTTCTTGCGGCGCTTACGGCCCTCCTTGGCGACTCTCCTCGCCTCACCAGCGATTTGCCACCCGCCGCGGGCACAGACGCCCAAAGTTATAGTATAGGTATATGGTGGTGTATGTAATATTGTGAGCAAGACTTAAGGTGGATATACATTTGTCTGTTGTGTAGTGAGTTGTTTGACATGTGTTGTTGATTCAAGATCGTTTAAAAATGTGATACAGATTTAGATAGTACAGTCTGGTCATTTCTGCGCCCCTCCAGGGTCTGCGCCCTGTGCCTGGGCACCGCTGGCACCGCCCTATTTACGGCGCTGCTTGAGTTGCAACACTAGCGCCCATTGCATACGTATTGCGTGGATATTGAATGAACTAAACGGTATTGAGTTTGACTTTATGTTCCGTACTCTGAATGCTAATGTTACAGCTACGATTGTGGTTGTATTGTGTTGACATTTAATAATTATTGAGATTTTATTGGATTGAAATTGCATTGACATTGAGATTGGTTTCAAGAGTAAGCACCCAGGTAGGTGATTTTATTTATTTTATCTTGTAGAATGATGTCAGGTCTATTAAAGTGAATGGTTCTGTCTGTAAGTATTGCGCGATCGTAGTACATCTTGTGGGTGGAGTTTTCTAAGATAGTGTTAGGGGAGTATTTGTTGAATGGCGAGTGTCTGGTGAATGATGTTAGCGACTTGATTGTGTCGATGAGTGTAGTCGGTTTGTGTGAGGTGAGGACAAGCTCCAGTGATGTGCTGCATTATCTTTGAATGAATGTGGCATTTTCTGCATTTGTCGTTTGTGAGGGTAGGATCAAAGAGTATAATAAGTATAGGGGTAGGTAGGATCTTTGATAATGAATTTTCTATAATTTCTGGTATTGATAATTTGGTCTTGAATAGCTATTATAAAGCCTTCAGTCTCCGGGAAAAGGGTGCCTATTTTAAGCCACTAAAGGCTTTGTCTATGTGTTGTTGTTGGAGGTCATGTAATGTCGTCCATGGAGGAGTTTTTTCTGCCATGCTTTATATAGGTTTACTTCTTGTTCGCTGTGTTGGGATATTTTCTGAAGTTTCGTGTAGCTGTATGTAACTGTTGTCATATATTATATGAATATTCATTATCATTATTATGGCATTAAATCCTAAGTAGGTACTAGTAAGATTTCATAACATTTAATAATTAACACCAAATAATTGTTTAGATCGTACCAGTAGGTTCGGAGATTTGTGTGATCAAACAAACTGTTCATCCTTGTGATATAAAGTATATTTAAGTACCTAAGGATAATACAAAAGAAACCAAGTATAAGTAGGATTTAACTGTTTAATTAACATTACAATAGGTACATTATAATTTTACATTTTGTCACAATTTCTTGTATTTTACCTTACGTTTTAAACATTTGGCATCTACATTATCTAGTAAATCAACATCAATAGAGTTCTTCCTCTTCAATAAACTCCCCTCTTCCGTTGGTTGCACCTGCTTTAAAGGAAGTAGTCCCACTGCGTACGGTATATTATTTTCTAACGTGGAATTTATTTTGTCATCATTTGTATTAGGTTGTTCATTCTCTTTATTAAGATCATCGTTTTCATTAATCATATCTGCCCATTGCCCACCTTCGACTTTTACTGGGCCGGTCAGATCTATCACCGATTCTTGGTACCGAGACTCTGATGCCATTGTATCAATTTGACTTTCATTACCCGCTCTATGCTCGTTAGTCACAGTATCCTCGTTATCTTCGTGCGTCTTCTTACTAATATCTAAATTGTCCCATTGCAACCCACTCGACGTTATTGTTGCCGATATATCTCCATTACTACTCTTTGAATTATTTAATTCTTTCATGTTGTCAGAGTCATTGTCAAATACATTAGACACATTCAGGGTACTTACGTTGAAATCCTGGACGTTAGAATCTGGATTTGGATTTAAATTGTCTTGATCATCCTTAGAAGAATTATGTTTTTGTGCCATGTTCATTTTGTTTTCAATGTTCATTAAATCTTTTATGATTTCATCTCTCTCTTGAGCTCGTTGGTCGAGTTGTGCGCTATCTTCGTAATTATTTTGGTCATCGTCATTACGTTTAGGTGTTGACATAAGACAATCGAGTGCATCTTCTTTAAAAACAGCACTTTGCGGAAGTTGTAGACCGAAGTCGTAACAGTCTTCGTTCCTTCTCAAATCTTCTGGGTTAAGAGGATTATACTGTTGACTTAAGTTTGAACTCAAATGTGAGGTTTTGGTATCAAGTAATGAAATGCTGAAATTTGTATCCAAAGAGGTACTGGCTGGACATAGTTGTTCAATAACTCTTGCATCGTGTAACTGCTGATCCTCGTAATATTTCTTTACGTCATCGCTCATAGACTTTGTGAAAAATTGCATATCGCCATCTATGCAGGAGAAATCATGTGCATTCACATGGTCTATAGAATTATTATTTTCTTGGAGGCGCGGGTCCAGTACCACATAGTTTTGTTGTTCTTCAAAGGACTCCAAGTTATCGGGCAGTATAGCGTTGAGACTATTAATGGTATCTTCGGTGCGATTATATTGGGAAGAATCCTTATCGTAATCAGAGTTGGAGCCGTAACCTTTGTTACCAAGTAGCATTTCTCCTCTCTCTATAGATTTGGATAGATCATCTATGCTCTTAATTTCACTGGGATCCGCTACCTTTTCAATAATATTAGGTTGTTCTATAACTTCATATTGTATTTCACTGCTTTGTACCATGTCGAGTAGCACTTGTTCATTTACGTTTATGTAGGAGCCATCTCCAGATTCAAAGAGAATTGGCAGATCGGTAGGCAAGCCGGCGTTTTTCAGGGCGTTAACATATTGTGACATGGCCGTACTAATGCCAGTCGTCGAAGATTCGGCTGAACTAATTGGGTTATTGTTAGAATAACTTGTGATCGTTTCATTTCCAATGGAGTGCTCTTTGTTATATGAGATGGTGGGGTCGAGGACGTTGGACGAAACGGTCTGGTCCATATACATGAGGTCGTTGTCAATGTTCATGTAGTTAGTGGAGGACTCTGGGCCACAGATGCTGTTGACGGCTTGGGAGAGTGTCACTCTATCCATGTAGTCCTAAACAATCAAAATGGCAATGTTAATATTACATCGAATTAACCGAAATATATTGGTTTTAAATAAATGTTTTAAGTTATATACCTGCATATGTCTAGTTTGCAAATGTTTCAGCTGGTGAATTGCCTTGCGGGAGTCCTGCTCTCGTCGTAGTAGTGCACGCTCAGCAGCTCGGCCTAGAGAGCCAGTTCCCTCCCACGCTCCTGGTCTCTGGATGTGGAAATACAGAATATTTTCAAGTCTGTTAATATACAAACATTTCGTATTGGGATGATGACAGGGTATGAAAATTAAAAATCTAATTAGTCCGACAGTTAGGTAATGAAAAAATATTAGACACGTATTTTTTTATTTTGTCGTATAAGAAAACAATACTTAAACTGTCAAACACCAAGCGGTCACCGGTGACCGCGACCTATTGTTCTTTAATTGTGTCTATAAAACCAGTACTCGACCAGTTAAATAAAGCGAACCAAAGGTTAGGAGTGGGAGGTAGCTACGTCATTTTAGAGTATAAATCGTACTCGAAAAGTGCCGTCATGTGATATTTCAAATCAATATTATCTTTGAAACTATTCGTTTACGTAAGAAAATAAAAAATACGTGTCTAATGTTTATAAATAATCTACCAGACGGAACTTAAAATAAAAATTAAGTAGTCATCAACCCTATTCAATGTACTAGCTAATTTATTCTTAACACTTCAGAAATATACGTTAACTGTCGAGTACTTATACTTCTGACGTGCTTGTCAATTTGATATGTAGTGAATGTCTTTTAGGAGTTTTAGGGTACCTTGTTCTTAATAAAGTTCCTTACATTAACAATAATGCTGGTTAAAATACATATGTGTTAAGTTTTAAGGTTTTTTTATTTTTTTATATGGTTGTTGTACTTACTCTTACACTAGGCCTGCCACGCCGTGGTTTGATAGCTCTTGGCGCGTCCGGATAGTCTACCGTGGTTGTGGTCCCACCATTTTCAATATCAAAAGGAATGCGGACTACCATGTCCTGCAATGACGTAGGTAGATTAGTAACTACGATCTCTTGTATGACTTGCTTGACAAGAAATAAAAATACATTTCAATCTAGTTGTCTATTCTTTTTAATGTTGCAACTAAGTTTTAGAGTTGAATTACCATCGCTACCATCAGGCGTGATGGTGGCCAAACGTCTTCCTATGAAATATTATTAGGTGTGTATATATATAAAATATACCTAGTATACCTACTGTATCTAACTTTTATGTGTAGCAGTGGGTACTTCAATTATATACTTAATGTCGAGGTTTTTTAAAGGGGGGGGATATCATCGAATGGCTTCTCCCGCCTGGGTGGGGCGGGAGGGAGTATCTGACTCTTACTGACTAAAAAGTAAAAACAACCCCGTTCCTACTCCTGCTCTTCGAGCCGGAGCCCCGGCAACCCGTCCTCCGCGGCTCCGTATCGGCATGTCGGGGAGGACAGAAGACGAATTCCCACCAAACTGATTGATTGAAATGATTATTATGATCCGGGCTATCTCTATCTTTATTATGATCATATCAACCACTGAACATAGGCAGTGATGGTGATTATAAATTTATAATATATGCATTTCTTGCTTGTAGGTAGTACAATTTGATTTATAACACAAACCTTATTCATTCTAACGAGATTATCGACTGGTTGGCCGGTGCTGGTCGCTGGAGCGAGCTGGGACGGCTGCTGCGTCTTACTGTCGCTCTCCTATTAGGTATGTCGGTATTATTAATAAACTAAATGTTTGACTACATAAGTATTTGAGTACTAAGTATGCTAAATCTAGATGGTTAAGCGAAACATTACCCATCTCAGAGTGGATGTAATGGATATTCAGATACCCCAGATCCCAACTTATACCTAGGTACATACATAGGTACCTAATGACAATTCATGTGAAAGTAGGTAGATAAAGCTAGAAATTTTGTAACCCAGTTGGTACCTGGTATGGTTGGGAATATAGGCCACAGACATAGCTACTTTTTTTTAAATGTGTAATTTATTAAATAAACTAAAGAATCTTTAAGTACGCACCTGAGAATGTAAATCAATAAGCGATTGTGGAGGTCTATTTATCACCACAGGCGGGGTGAAGACTGGCATTTCACCTAAAATTATATAAGAAAGGTTTACCTATGAATGTAAACAATGAAATTAGGTACCCACTAAGTTTAATTACTTAAATATTGAATATATACACTTACCACCTTTATTACTACCCCTTCGGGGATAAAAGGCGTGATGTTATGTTTATACTTACCAAAGTATCGACCATAGAGTACCAACTTAGATAGGTACATATAGGGAATCAATTATCTCTGTTCGGTAAAAATGTTACAAATTACCTGTATTCCGTTTTTACTTACTATTATTAGCAATGCCCAGACCTTCTTTAGTAACTTTCGAAAGGCCTTTTATCTTTAAAAACTGTGCTGCTGATACTAGTTCGTCTAAGTTCTCTTCAAGGCACTGAGTTTTTCCACAGTACATGAATTCTACTAAACATTTTAACACACTGAAGCGCATTTTTAATATTATTAGTGGTTCTCCTGTTTGCTTTTGCAACACCTCCTAAAATGTTGAGGAGTCTTTAAATAACAAAGTTCGTAAATTAAATGTAATTTTTTCTTGGCACTTTGGCGGCAATTTACATGCATTTTGGAGACAGTAAATTAATAACAGAACATGGTAGCACATAAGTAATTACAAAACAAAGTTTTATACCTGAAAATAAGCACTGCTTGCAGCAAGTACAGCTTTATGCACGCGCAAAGTATGAGAGCTGCACATTAATGTCATATCGACTAATGATTGCATTTGCAACAAAATACCAAATCTCGACATTAGATGTTCAGAATAATCTTCATAATGGAGACTATATCGTATCGGAGCCATTTCTAATTTACATCTACACGCTTTGAATAACGCTATTAGAAAATCATCAAAATATCTGTTTGATGAAAAATGTCAATTTTTTGATAGGTTAAACAAAAGACAGTTGAAAAAATAATTGCTATGTTTTTAAAAATGAATATAGAACTTAAATAAATGCCTGTAGTAAAAGAGGTTCTAATTTGAGATTAAAAAATAAAAAACAAAATCGTCATTGTCTATTACATTAGGCAGAATAAAGTAAGGATAAAAATGAATTTGGTCATTTTATTAAATAATAAACAGTTATATTGTTGGAGTCTTTTTAATCCATTAAAAATGCAGAAAAAAATAGTAAATGTTAGAAAATGAATTTATTACAAATTTGTATTCATAATGGATATTTTTTAATATTGTTCACGGTAAATAGGAAATTATCCTAAAGTAATAGTTTGGAATATAATAACTTAGGTACAGTCAGAGATTAAGATAAGATAGATTGTAATAAACGTAGGTACATCACAGACTAATTAAGTACTCAAACAATTTTAATTGTATTAGGTATTATGATTCTTATTACAACTTTGCCACTTTTGTTACAATCAGATCATTATATTAAATAGGTAAATAATAAAACAATCAGCATAACACACTGAAAAAACCAATTAAAAATTGGAATAGGCTTGTGGAATGTAATTAGGAATGTAATGATTTGTTCATAAGGCACTTGGAACAAATACAGTGAGATTGTAGTCAGATGCGTAAATATCAGATAACATCACAAAGTTCTGTATTTTAAGTAAAGTAAAGATAGTTAATTAGAATAAAATTTGTCATTATGGAAAGTTTACCAACTATAAAACCATTAAATAGAAGTATAGATTCTAGTCACATTTAATTATATAATATCAAATTCATAATTAACATGTACTTAAATCGAACTTTTTACTAAGGAAGAGTTAATAGACTTAGACAAGATAAAACAAACTCATTCAAGACGAATAGATTCTTATAGGATAACTGCGAATATATAGGCGTAAGCTTCAGGTAATAACCCAGCAGATGTGGCCAGTTGCCTATCCTATCTTCACATTATCCACATTAGTATTTTTATAAAATACAAATTTGTAACATTTCCAATACCTTAGGATCTTTTTAGAAATCAGTTCCTATACAATACAATAGCTTTTACGTTTTACCCTTACCTCCCTACGTCGAAGCTCATAAACGCTGTGCCACAGCCGCAAAGCTTTCGCACGTCTCACGAAAATACTGGAACACATTTTGATTAATATCTGAGATAGAAACAAAACCGGCTATCATATATACACGATACATGCACGTTTTCTGCACCAAATATAATAAAGTACATGTCTTTTATAATAATGGTTTTGCTGGGTCAGATATGAAATCTACCTGATAAGTCGTTGTAATATATAAACTGAACCTATAATAACTAAATAAAATAGTGAATGCAAATCAGGGGACAGAAAAGAAGTCTTCATAATCTCTCTTTTCAAACAAATGTTGATTCACTAATTATTGCAACTATTTATGATTAAGTTTCGGTTAAATAATATGGCAATATTCAGACCTATTATTTCATAATAATATTATTTAACACATGCAACATTCTTTGGATAAAATAATCATAGACAAAATCAATTTATCACAACACCTAATTTAGGCGGGAACTTAAAAAAATCAATTTTGTACCTAACAACTAGACAGCATTATACAATTACAATATTTCAAAGAGTTATTATAATTACTTACATTATGCACTACAATATTGTCATACTAATACATGAATTAACAAAATTACATTCCATCCCAGATATTGCAGAACAAAAAGTGTAAAGAAAGTTACAGCCATGAGTTCGCTTACGTACGAGTCTGTTAGTAATTAGTTCCACTAAATCCAATACGTATAGAAAAATATTTTTATTAATTAAATCATTTTACGTTCGTTTTATTGTTTTATACAACAGGTTTTCATAGGATTCTATTACGTTTAGCTGAAGAAAATCGAACACCATGTCTAATTGTCTAAATAATGATTATAAGTAAGGTTTTTCAATTATTATGTGTATTTTTAGTTCACTGAGGCAATAATTGGCGACGGTTTTGAATAGTATCTCAAATGTTAAGCACATAGAACCCTATGTCAGCCTTGATTAATAAATTATAATTAATTTGTATCGTTGATTAATATTATGGTGTGGGTACAGGCAAATGTCCTTAAATAGGTATAACTATAAAGTTGACAGATTGACTTGCTAATTGACAGCTATATAAAAGGAATCAAAAAAATAAATAAAGAGAATTTGTACACAAGTAGATATAAAATAATAATCAAAGAAATTACGTAAAGTATTTAAAAGTAATTAAATAATCTTACATGAACACTTTACATAGGTTTGAGTAAATTTGTACAATACATAGCATGTAGAAAAAATAGAGATTCATTTTATAGAGATCGTTCAGTGAAACTAGATCATTGCCAGTTGTAAGTACTGCTACGCCATGTCTACGAAATATTTACGCATACTAAAATAAAATTACAAAAGTTAGAAATAAAAGTCAAATAGTTAATGGCGTATTAAATACTGTCCCTAAATATTAACTTAAATATGTACTTCTTGTTCTGAAGAGTATTATTATTTACGTGTGTACTCATTATTGTACCTATATGTTTATGTCCGGTGACGGAGACAAACTGAGCAATGGTCTGTTTCAGTGGCAGGTTACATTAGTACTAATATTAAAAGCAAATTACAATATTTACACCAGCCGACAATAGTACATCTTGCAAATAGGTATCTAATATACACGTTAACTGTTTGTTCATATTTTAAATAACCACTTATGGTTACAATACGCTTATGAGTCCCCAGTAATACTTAATTATCAATTATCTTTAAAAACTCCTCGGGGGAGATGTGGACGTCTTCAGGGGGCGATGTGTCCGTCGCGTTAGGCACGGTGTTTTTCAGTTCACCGAAAGTGTAAGTCGTTCGTTTTTTATTCCTAGAGTTGGAGATGCGGGGTCCCGCTGGCAGCGACGCCTCGCAGTCGAGGCTGGCTCGCTTGTTCCAGCAGAACGCCTGCCGCGGCTCCGCCCCTGCCGACATTGGCATTGCCAATTGCACTCGAGATTTACACAATTCATTATCACTTAACTGTCGTTTTAACTTATCTTTCCCTACGACCAGCTGGAAGCCCCTCAAGCCACTGTCTCCGTGTGATTTGGCCAACTCAGCTTCACTAAGCTGTCTCTTAAGTTTTGAAGACTCGGTTGGACTGGACCGTGCTGGCTTATCGACTAGACTGTTCTGACGTGAAGTTTTGCTTCCTCCGTGTCTAGAATTCGAACTGTGTTTGAGTAACGCACTGTCGTGTCGGCTACTTCCCGATGAACTGCTTGTATTCGTGTTACAAGTGTTCGCATCGTTGGCGTTGTTTCGTCGTAGCGATTCGATGACATTATAGAAGTGTTCAAGCTCAGAGGTGCTGCTATTTCTGGATCTGCTTAAATTGTTTGTACTATGTCTATGTGGGCGGATTTGAGCTCTTGGTAAATGACCATAACTGCTTTGTCGAGCAATACCAACACCGGCAGTGTTTTGTCGTCGTGGCATGCTACAACTCTTAGGAACAAAAGCGTCTTGTGACAATACCACATTTTCATACACGTGAGCGTTTTCGCCATCTTCTTGTGATATAAGATTCTGGCGGCTTTCAGTAGTTTCTTTCTTTTGGCCTACGGAATTACTCTTTTTATGTCCATTATTAACTTTGACATCAGGCATTTTTTTCGTTAGCTTACAGTCACTGGCACTTCGAGGTAGTAAATTAGCATAATCATGGGTTTTGTTTTCTTGATTTTGTAACTTTTCTAACTTAGGAGCACTAGCGGTAGCAGCGGTGTCTGCTATTCTCATGGAGTTAGAAGGTTTAGGTGCTTTATTGGATGGACTGGCTTTCGCAACGTCTGCAGGAGCTTGTTGTGGCGTCACTTCGTGTCGTTTCCTGTCCACGTCGGGCTTAGACGATTTGTCTAGGACGACTTTCGTTTTATCACTTTTACATATTTTCACACTGAACCTAAATGGAGGTTTGAACACGACTTGCAGTCTGGCTTTCTCACCGGACAGCAAATTCGTGGCGCTCTTGGACGGTCTGGTTTTTCTAGAACCTTTCTGTATTTGTCGATGTGTTCTCTCAGTGAGACCTAGAGGTATGGATTTAGATTTAGGTATTGCAGTGGGCTGTGGTGAGCTTAGCAGCCATCTTTGCACCTTACTCAAAGCTTCGGTGTCTTTGATTGGCGAGGAGGGATGTTTCTGCATGGAGCTGTAGTCTATGATCTCTTTCTTCATTTTGGACTTTCGTTTCTTTACTTTACCTTTGTGTTTGGAAAGTATGACATGTTTTGGGGATTTGCCTTCGGCATTTGTGACGATCACTGTATTTTCTTTCGCTACTTTAGGAACATCTTCTAATTTTGCTTGGCTATTCGGCTTCTGTAAAGAAATAAAGTGTGAGTAATTAATATATCATCGGTTGTATTCTTAGATTTGCCCCATTTTGATCTAATGTTCGACTTACCCTCTTCTTATTGGCACTGTGCATCGGAGAAGCTTTGTCTCCTGACTTCTTGTGATCTTTCTTGTTGCGGTAAGCTCGGGTTCGAAGGGCTACTTTCTTCTTAAGAGGTAGTTTCGACCTGGAAAATAATGAGCAGAAATTGGTTAATTTAATATACCTGCCAATAGAGTACGTAAACAATCGGTAACCCCAATAAAAGTTATAAAACTTCAACTGTAAATTATTAATTTGTTCAAAGTTAAATAATTACATTATTATTTTAAGTAGGTATAATGTATAGATTACCTGACAGCGGTATGAACGATCAGTCCCTGGTCAGCAGCGTCAGGCAAGCGGACGGTTTCAGTGGTGGAGGAGTGGATGATGGTCACAGACTTCAGCTTTTTGCCGTGGCGGCCTAAGAAACGCGTACTTGCGACCTAAAAGCAGGTAAGTTAATATATTAGGTAAGATTTTAGATAGTTTTTGATGAGTATATTCTAGCTTTTCTATTATTTTAGTAAACGTATTCAAAGTCCTAATTATTTTTTTATGTTCACAGACAAGAAAAATTCAGCTTCAATAGCTTTAACTAACTTCTGAGTTGATGAATTATAATGATGACTACAACGCTGAGTAGAGGATAGGGGAGTTGGGGAGTAGAGGATTGCATTTATTCATAAAATGAATCAAATCTACAAAAACATGAGCAATACTTTATGATAGTTAATGATTAATTACATTAATTTACATTTTGTATTCTAGCTAGAAATGTAAATACTAGCGCAGGTACTTATAAATGTTATTCATATACCTTCCCGAGGAGTTATACCTAAGTTAGACACTAACATTTAGTGTCTATTTCTATCTCAACGTCAAGGGTTTTGCAGCATCGCTAAATAAAACCAATTATGTTATTATGTTTCTGTATAATGTGAAAATTATGTGATTTCCTAGTTGATAGTTTCAGTCACTAGTAGACATTAGGTTGATTGATATAATAATTTAATTCAAATTGATGTTGTAGCCCTCAATTAGTACTCCATATTACAAATCTTTAACTTAATATTCTACCGTTTACCATATTACACATGTGTCGACTACCCCAGAAGAGCTCGTCACGTGAGACCCAAGGTATCCTTTTCCATATTGTATTCAGTATAATGGAATGTACTCAAAAAATTTGTTCGGCAAAAAACTACTTCTATTAAGACAATACAAAAAATTTGTAGGTGAATAAGACAAAATATAGGTATATAAAGAACTTACCAGGAGCGCGATGACTGCGAGCAATATGAGTAGTACCGCGTACCAGTGCTTGAGCACCCAACGCTTGAAGCCGGCGATACTTTCGTCCGAGAGCAGTAGCTTACGCAGCGTCGCCAGCGGACCTGACGGGTCCACCTCGCGGCAACGTTGGAACACGTCGCAGTACCTGCAACAATATAAACAATTATATTTAGATGCAAACACATTACTGTTAAACTTTCCCAAACAGTGCGTCGGTTGTGTAATGTAACCCTATTGTCAGTGGGTATTTCAAGTCTCCAATTTTGTATTGATTCTAGACCCTCGTCATAGTTTATTTTGACGATTGCTTTTATACCTAACCACTAAGAAGTCATAAAACCACCAATAAGGTTATAAGAAATAAAGCAATAGAATAGTAAGTATACAGAAACATAGAGACAGAGGTCAGTCAGTCGGTCGGTCAGTTCAGCTCGAAACAGGAGTTGGAATAGGGTGATATTTTGTCAGTAATAGTCTGACGCCTTGTCACCCAGGGCGGGAAGGGTATCTAACATAATTAATTTACTCGCCATAAAAAATGCATGGATATTAGACTCACCCGTTATAATCGTTGCAGGGCGTTCCTGGTTTCGCATACATGTCAGGCACATCATACGGCGCAATGTTCCACTCGAAGGATGACATACAGACGCCGCCCGGCTTGCGACAGCACAGCTCGCACGCTGACCTCGGGTCGTCTTTGCGAGGTGCACACTGGCATGATTCCAGTCCGTACGCAAGGCAGATGGAACCCGTGCATTCCTGTAAGAAAAACCCAGACAGGTAAATACAATTATGTATATTACATAAATAATCTTTGTTTGAGTTCAAACTTTAGATATAGAGTCTGATATGGTATAAAAATCGTGTGGCATTATACTCCTAATGCCTAGTATATTATTCGTAGAGGTAGGGTAAGTACTCATAACTCTATGAATAATATACTAGTAGTTTCATATTTTTGTTAAATTATTATCATCGTTAATCGACTCGGATAATCAGGACAGAAAATGTTCATATACTTACTCCCATATAACAGACGAGTTCCTTATCGCATCGAGTCCTGTTGGGCTTGTGTCGGCTGGCGGGACAGTTGGCACGTTTGCCGTCACAGAAGGCTGCATCACGACATCCATTGTCAGACCGACACTTATCACCGAACTTGAGCGTACACGATGCAGTGCAGCATGGACCCTGAAATATTATAAAAAAATTACAAACTGAGGGGATAAATCTAAATAAAAAGGGCAACTTGAAACTGAAACTGAGAAATTGTAAATTTTCACTTCATCTAGATGAAGAAACAGTACTGTTAGAGCCACAAAGCAGCATTAGCAGCATTAGAATAGTCACATCTACTTTAGGTTGACGAATTTGGTTATTGTTTGGGTTTCATACCCAATTTGATCCTTGAATTACTTTTTAGCCAACAGTCTTTGTCTGCTAAAACCGATTTTAGATTAATGTTTTTATTCTTATAGGTAGGTATACAAAAAGTGCCCTACCTGACTAGGACTGCACACACTATGTTCAGTGAGAGTACACGGCTTGTAGTGCGGCCTCGCAGCTTGTGGGCGACAGCACACATCAGTGCACTCTGACGCCCATCCGCAGTCGCATTCTTCTCCTTCTTCCACCACGCCGTTACCACAAATCGCTGGCTGAGGTTCTGTTAACATTTTATTATATTGCATTATAATTACCCTTGGTTGTAAGAGTCAATATAAAAATATAACTATAGACTGAATCTAGTTCTTCCCTTAAAAAAAAGGGATAATGCGGGCAATTTTTTACACTCCAGCCGTGCCATTTATGGCATTTAAGAAATCGGCAATTAACATACAACGTATATAATTTTAGACTCTGTGGTCTATTTGAAAAACCCACCTCACTAGAATGAATCTGAACAGACTTTGCATGCTGTATAAGCCAAGAATTGTTTATAAAAATCAGTTAAATGTTTAGGACACAAAATTTTCTTACCAGTAAAGCAACCCTTAGGTGACCTGGCTTTGTTGTTGAGCACTGGGTCGATAGCTCTGAGAGAGCACGGTGAGAATTTGTTATTGTTCTTTCTATCGCCACTGGTTGCTCGCGCGAACATTATGTAGTTGCCGTCCTCGCCGAAGGGGGTGCATACCTCAGGGTCGTGCTGAAAGTTATTAATTGAATCATGTGAATTGTGTGTACGCACAGGTCAAATAGTCCACGTTCAATAGATTTTCAATTTTATTGTCAAATTATAAGGTCGAAAGTCTATTAACTCGTCGAGTACCGGTTTTATAGACACAATTAAAGAACAATAGGTCGCGGTCACCGGTGACCGCTTGGTGTTTGACAGATTAAAGTATGTCATGCCCGTCTTCTAGGAGTATACAGAGAAAATATCATGTCAAGATAATAAATAATGGCAACGCACCGGTGATCCGAAGTTGTGTCCGATCTCGTGTGCGAGGGTGACGTGGCTGACAGCCGGCGGCACGTGCTTGCCGTAGTTTAGCAGCGTCACTATACCCGTGTTCAGCGATTTCATGCTACCACGATAATGCTAAAAAACATAAGTAAAAAAATATATTCAATTTTCCTTTGTCAAAAATCATTCAAATGATAGACAACGAGTTGTTTCTTACCCCATTTTTCTCGCAAACTCCACCGGCATTTTTCAAATCACCTGTCCAAGCCAGCCCAAGAGTACCCATTTCAAAATCTCGGTATGTAAACATGTACGCCAAACAGAAGGCATCGTAATCTTCCTCTAAAAGAAAAAAAATGATTTATTTTTATAAAATTAAAACCTTCCGTTTTAAAGCAGTCTAATTTGTAACCATAATAGCTTAACTTTGTAGAATAGTCCCCCAGAGACCCGACCTCTTTGAATGCGTAATTGAATATTGACGAAAAAAGGCAAACCTGAAAAAAGCTCCAAATATTTTTCTACTCCGTAGTTGTTTGGAAACCTGTAAGCAGGATCTTTCAACGCGTCTAATGTGTGGACCTTTATTCTTTTGATCATAAACGTGATGTTGTCTGGCTTTCCATCCTGATTGAAGTCTGCAAACAAGTTTTCATTAGTAGGGTAAATGTAATTATGAAACTACATACATGTTTGAATAAAGCTGCATATTACCTGTCACTTTATATATTGCGTTGACTTTCTGTACATGTCGCGTCATGACTTCGATACACGCCTCCTCGGAGCCGTATCGTTGATAGAACATGTGATCGGCCTGCAAGTATACTAGGCACGTAGTTTTCCTCGGATCTACTGTCGCCCTTTTGTTCACATGTCGACCGTCATCACTCGCGTTAGCCGACAACACAGTGTACCCTACTGGCTCCTTTTTGACTATATCCTTATTAACAGCTACAACTCCTGCTTTCGTTTTTATCACTTCAACGTGCGTCTTTGGCTTTGGTCTCGATTCTTCCGAATCGAGTCGCACCTTAGTTATGAGGTTACTTTTATCGATTTTGGTTTTAGGTTTTCTAGTGCTTAACTTATCAACCGGCTCATTGTTGCTAGTGTATGGAAAGTCTAAGTCTAAAGGTAATTCTGGATTCTTCTTTGGCTCGTCATCTTGCATTTCATCTTCAGGGAGCCATCGTTTTTTTCGTCTATGTATTTCGCTTCGGAGATCTTCAGTAAAATTGGTTAGGGGTGAGTCTTTTACGTTTCGTTGATCGGCAGAACTAAATAATTCAACTTCTTGACCTAAAGTTCTTTTCAAATGGAGTAGATGTGATGCGCACGGTGCTCCTTCATTAGTATCATGTGGGTGCTCAACATCTGACCTTCTGTATACAACGCTGTGCATAGAGGGATGGTCTATGTTATATCGAGATATCGGTTCCACATAATACTCTTCTGTAGGGGTCCAAATTGTTCCATCGAATAGACCCTCTGCTGTGATGACACCATAGACGTGAGACAAATCGTCATCTAGAACAAAAAAATGTTATGCTGTAATTCTTTCACTTGATTAATATACATCGCTCGAATAGTTGAAATAAATAGAGACTAAATACAAAGACTTCAGTATTTCAAAATAAAGCTTTGAAATACAAACAACTTGGGGACGCTCAAATAAATGGCAGACGATATTTTATGCAAACTAATTCGAGGTGCAAAGAGCCTCGGGACTCTGAATGAATTAAAATCACAACTTGCAGTCGCAGTAGGGGAGGGATTGAAACCGCTCATAAATAACGGTAATTACTGCTCTCACCTACACTCCATTCCTCCTTTATTCATTTTCTGGCAAACGGGTAATAGACAAAAATTGGTTTGTAAAACAACCGCGTAATATTTTAATGGGTCAGATAACATCATGAGTGCTGGTAATGAGGTGTTAGAGCTAAACTTGTTGATGTATCATCGGCGAACTTTTATTACAAGGTTTTTCTCTAATCGTGGTTTAACGGCAGCCGCCTGTCCTAATTCTTATGAAGTTTTGATCTTTGTTCCAGAATTGTGAACAAAAGGCGAATAATTTAAAAGCAAAGAATTTTAATAATTGGATAACATTCTTGAAATCTTGTGATTTATGAAGCTTAACTTGTATTGGTAATTTGTTTTTGTTATTTTCGGTTGACCTTTCTACGTAAATGGATAATGGGTTTCTAATGGAGATATTATTCAGAAAGACGAATTTACGAGAAACATACTTCATTAAACTTATGAAGTAATTTGTTCAAAATTCACTTTGTCTCCAGCGTTCCAGATGGGTCGCAGTACATAATTTCCTTTTATTAAGTTATTCACAGAATGTAGAAGTTTGTTGGGCTCATGTTTAATTGGTTGTTTCAAAGACTTGGGAAATAAGTGAAGGGTTGGAGTATGTTTTAAGTACCTATCTACTCAACTAAATTATATTTTAATTAAAACAAAACGGAAGTTATGGACGACTGGTTTGTTTTATGCCCTATTGTTTAATGACCTTCAATAGTTTATTTAAATATCTGAATTACTTTACCACTTCCATGATGTAAGTAATTGAATAAGTAAAGAAGAACAAACTTCTAAAAACAACAGTTAATTGCCGAGTACGAGTTTCAGTTAACGGAATACTGTAACGCTAATTTGTAAAGTCATAAAAGACAAAGTCATTTTAACAGGACTTTCGCTTGTAATTAAAAGAAACCTCGTACAAAGGAGTAATCCGTTTAAGGAAAACAATTTAATTCCGCTGCCCGCCGAACAATTAATGTTGGTCGCGAGTAAAAACGAATATTTCGAAGTGCAATGATGGAAATTTACAAATCGTACGTTTGTCCGTTGTGTTTTTTGTGAATTGAGAATGTTTTGTCAAGTGGCATTTATGTATGTACCTAAAGACGCTTCTTGGAATACTGCAACATTCATACGTATTACATGATTATGTTTAAGCTGTTACAAGTTTTAATAACGTAGTAAAACATCATCCCTGCGTAGGTCCGTATCCCTTCGTACGTCAGAAAGTCATTCTCCCGAGAATACCGTGCACCTAATAGGTGATAAATGACACGAGATATAGGTTATCGAGATCTAATCTAGATGCCTATTCTCATAAATCATGAAGGTACTTAGCATCGGTAGAGCCACCTAAATACCTCTCCTCCTATGCTATGCTAACGATCCAATATAGGTACGTATAAATTGCCCCAACAAGCTCGGGCATGTCTATGGAATTTGGTAAAGTATTAAGAGCAAACAGCCCTATCCGACATCATGTATTAGGAGGCTGCATGAATTGGCACAAATGAGTCGACTTGCACGTGACTGCCTTTGCTACAGTTCCTCATTGTTTAGGGTTGACGACTGGTTATTAAAATTTTCATAACTGTTACTTTTATTAAAATCCTCGATCCTTTATTAGATTTTATGCAAATGAGTTTTTAATGACACTTATTTTAAGACAAATACAATGTCTAGAATCGCACCAAAGCTTTAAAAAGCGGGGTAATGAAAATTGTTATAAAGATAAGATGTCGTGGACTCTGTTATTTTAATTAAACCTTTTAAATTAATTACATTATGAACTATACTTTTAGAAGTTAAAATAAATGAACGCTATCGCAATTTTCCCTGTAATAAAATATAGCATCAACTCAATATGATAGCATTGTTTGTCGTGGGTACAGCCCTGCACAGACATCTCTCTTGGCTAAGACCCGGGATTACATCACTAATGCTTATCTGATGCCGCGGCTAGATTATGTGATGTTTTATTGTGTTCATCGCAACAGCTCTGTGTGTTTAACGCGGCAATTACTTTGGTTGTCCGACCGTTATTGTAATATTGAATTCGTATTTTAATTACTGGATCTGACGCTAACTTTAACAGCAATAATAATTGATATTTAGTAATAGACCATTAGATTTAATTATGCTTTTGGCGCAACGTATAGTCAATTGATACGACCTGGATATTCATCAGAATTAAAAGGTTTTTAGTTAGTAGGTAACTCTAGCCGTATAATGGTTCTCTGGTGAAATTAAATTACAATTAAGTCCTTATATTTATGTAATAATGCTGACCTCAACTGAATTACAGTTAATGGGCCGTATAAACCTCTAATATAAAATATAGCTCAGGCCCTCAATTTCACGTTTCACGGTTACATCATATTAGGAGTAGCTTTTAGCCTAGCCTAAAGTTTGAGCTATAAATTAAAACACATATCTCACATCTAATGTTCATTTTGTTCAAAAAGTAAAGGAACAATTCTTTTGGGGTAAAGGAATTTTATGAAAAGATATAGGCTGGAAGTAATAGCAGGCTTTGGTGAAAACTTTTGACGTGATAAGGCTGTTCAAGTAAGTTAAGCGCTGATAAGACTGCCGTTGAAAGAGTGGCTGCAAATCGTAAGTCTTAGTTGAATTAAGAGTCGTGTACATTTAACATGTACTACTTATTAAATCAATAGTCTGCCTAACCATCATCATTCATTTCATCAACAGCCTATAATTGCCCACTGCTGAGGAAAGCCTCTTATCACACGGAGAAGGTTTGAGCATTAATCACCACGCTTGCTTAACTCGTTGAGTACCGTCATTATAGACACAATTAAAGAACAATAGGTTGCGGTCACCGGTGACCGCTTGGTGTTTGACAGTTTAATGCGGGTTAGCGATTACAAACTTAGATTTAGAAATTATAAGCCCAGGTTTCCTCACGATGTTTTCCTTCACCGTTTGTCATTGGTGTCTGAATAATCTTAGAAAGTACATATAACTCGGAAAAAGTCACATTGGTACTTGCCGTTGGAAGGTTTCGAACCCCTCGTGCATGAGAAGCGGGCGTCTTAAACCTCCGGGCCACCACGACATTGTTTGATTAATATTAATTAAACTTGCTTACCTTCCAGCTTCCCAGAGTAAACTTTAGCAGGGTTGTAGTCCACTTGTCCGGCTGTGGAATGGAACTGCACGCCGTCTGCGAATACTGAGCTGGGGTCCGGTCTGAGTATCAACTTGAACTCCCTGTAACATTAGAAAACATTACTTAATTACTATATTTTTAACAACAGGCAATATTTTAATTAAAATGTTTGTCACAAACAATAATTTCCTATGAATTTGAACCTATGAGATAGTGTATTGTGACATCATAACTTTTGTATATCAAAATGTATGCTATTTCATAAAATATAAAAATGTACAAAGATATGGATACGAACTAGGTGCAGCTCAAAATTACATATTATTGGAAGTGTGATTTATTTTGAATATTTTATTGTATTGAAAAGTCGAAATCATTTCATTTTATCTAGGAAACTATACCAGATTATTTTCAATGTTTTATTACTGCAAGAGCTGTTTTACCATTTCTGGTTAACTGACGGATTATTAAATTATAGTCAAGTCATGAGTCAGTTAACAGAAACTAATACTTGTAAGTAAGTAAAAGTTATATTAATAACATTAAAATATTATTTTGTAGATTGTAAAATATTATTTTATATATTTAAGAACATATGAATATTTAAATTTTAATTGCTTATTCTTTAATACAACATTGCATTACACAGTACATAGGTCTGAGCAGTAACTCTGGGCGTTAACACAAAAGTGCTCTTCATCGTGACAGCATTAAGCGCACGAAGGTGAAGTGTGTAAAGTTTCGCTGTTTCACGTAATACGTCCAAACTCGTATTATGTTCATACGGCACGTACACTAATTATGATTTAATGCTATTCACGCGGAGTTCAAACTGTTCGTATTAAAATGTAGAGCACCAGTGTAATGGCTAATAAATCAGACGCATAACTCTGATATACTGTTGGGCCTCGTGCCCTTCTAATGTTTTTAGTTGAGCAACTTTTATTTAAGGTACGTTTTAATAATACGAAGGCAATAACGCATTCTCGAACGTGTTAGCTGTTAGGGTTATTATAATGTTTGTACCCGTGCTTGAATTTTAATGACATACAGACCTGTCTTGGGAATCGCGTCGAAAATAAATTTCCGGACTGAAATAATGTTAGTTGTTGGACGAGGATGCGACAGTTTAATAGATTTTCAGCTTTCGTGACGTGAGATATTCACATTATGGGGACAACCTGTGATGTGAACGACCTTAATTAATGTTACTGCAGGCCGATTTGTTTTTGAAGACGGCTTTGCTTACAAATATCTAGCTTATTTAAATCAACGTCGAATAATCTTATAATGCCGAGAAGATTAACAGTGAAGGATTTGTTAAACAATTCCCTAAGGAGTCACGAGTTGCTTTGACATGTTACCGCAATAGCAATTCTCGTGCTCTGTAACATGACTCCGAATACAATAACGTCTCATGATAGTATTGTTATCTCACAAAGAAAGACACTCCAAATATATTTATTCTTAGTGAATACGACATGAAACATTTATTTGTAAGACTCGAGCGATTTTACTCCAATTTGTAAGCGAACAAATAATAACTTTCTTTTACTTATTCTATTCTATTTTTAACCGACTTCCCAAATATAAGTTTCTCATTTTAGATGGTACATTTAATTTTGTTCGAGTGTATGTGATACATCGATTATACCAAGGGTTACGGATGCATCGCCTTCTTAACTATCACAGGATAGGTAAGTATAAGTAAGTAGTAAAATAAAAATTACAACAAACTTTAAAGGAAATGTTCAATCAGCGTTTTACTTGTACCGGTATTAAAAAAGATACACAACACTTATTCATTTAAACCAGATTAGCGATAAATGAATTATGAACAGAGTAATATCGTATTCTTCGTTGAAGTCGATAGCCGAGTTATCATCACAATGAAAGTGAATCGCATTACTATTTACGAGGTAGAGTCAAGATGTAGGGCGTTTTGTAACTCAATAAAATTTTCACAATTCCCCCAGATTGGACGTCAGAAGCGGCACTAACGAGCGGTATCTAATGATGTTAGACGAATAGACGGTCGGATGTCTCCCTTGTTTGTCTGATCTAACTTCGTTATAGGAAAACTTGCTCTGATTTCCAACAAAACAGATGAAGTGTCTCCTCTTGACGACGGATCGAAGGTGTAATCGCGCCGGTGTGGGTGATCATTATTTTCAGCACGATTTCTCCCTGTACGCGGTGACACGAGGAATTCCAAGCGACATGCGGTATTAGTATTATAAGGCGCGTTGTTGTTGCTGGAGTGGAGTGTTACACAAGCCCAACAATATGTTTTTGAAAGCAGACATTCGATTCAACAATAAAAGAAAAGTTTAAATTAAAGAAAGATTAATCAACATAGTCCGCGCCGTAAATTTTTCAAATAATTGTACCATTAGAAATGAAATAGATGATAAAGTATCCCTAACTCAATTTAAAAGAACGTTTAATCCTTACAGTAACGTAAGTTTCAACTTTGCTGACGCAAAAAATATCAGCTTAAAAGTTTAAGTACCCGAGCAATTACCCTCTCCGTAATTAAACAGATATTTATGTAAAGGCTAGTATGGAAAATGGCTAACGAGGCATAAAAATAACTTTTTCATTACGAAATTGACTGAGTGCGTCCGAATTTCGCCAGGTCTATTGTTTACCAACCGGATTTCTAACTTGATTAACGAATTAATTACCTGAGTAATTTCATTGGTTCCGCGAAGTAAATTTGAAATAGTCTCAAGAGTAATATTTAACTCCGACTTGAGTAAATATTAATAAGTCTACAACTTATATTTGCTGGAGTTTAGGGACTTAGTGCCGTAACGAGATTACTGCGGCGGGTTATTGAGTTGCTGGCGGCACTCGCTTCTACTCCATAAAGTAATACATTATTTAATTGTGTATGGCTGTATGGATGGAGCAGAGCCTGCTCATATAAGAGACTAGAAATAACAAAGTGGTTGTTAGTAATAACATATGGAAGAGTCGTTCAAAGAGACGTACCACTTGGTACCAGAAATAGAAAATATCTCTTATTCTGAATTGGATTCACATATGCAAACGTAAACGCAATCTGTAAACGTAAGTTACAGAGACACCTTCATTATGTAAAGGTCTAATAAATAACTCTGGTAAACATTGTTATAATTTTTTAGAATCTTCATTTGTTGTCTGACAACGTCTGAGAAAATGAAGTAAAATTCTTCGCGATTTCACATCTTCAGAAGGCAAGCAGAGTCGACAATGATTAATAAACAGGGCGTTTAAGTCAAAACAAAGTGACAGCAAAAATTCTGCCTTAACTTTTATTAAGAAGTTGGTGTACATCAGCGCTCGTCCATCCCTATTTTCAGAGGGTAGATCAGACCTGAAAACTCTGTAAGAAGTTATTAGCGAAGGCAATTTCCAGAAGCCATTACTCATTTCTGGTAACAAACAGGCTTGAAGGCGGCCTGGAGGCTTCCTCGCAGTGTAATTGTGGAAACCCGAGCTCGGGAATATTAAGTGACGACGTCACGGGGAAGTGGTTTCACGTACGTTCACGGCTGTAATTGAACTGAAGCCTAATCTTGTCTGCTCAAAATAGGTTCTATGTAACATACGGCGTATTATTACAGGTCCCTGAATTTAGATGAAATGTGCCAAAGGGTGTGCGTAAATGGCGTTACTTCTACTTATTAATTTTGTTTTGCTTCCACCTGACCTTTGAAAATGTGTTGAACTTTGAAAATAGGTACTGTGCGCAAAAAAGCACGTTACGTCTATTTACGTTTTTCACGTACAATAAGCAAATATAGATATTAAAAGGCGCTAACAGTAAAAAGTACCGCATGGACAAGGATTCATCAATTTGTAGAAAAGAAAAGTTTTATTGTCTTTTGTCTAATGAAAAGTTCTTGGGATTGTTGAAACTTTCGGTTCGGTCAATACCTCGTTTTAGAAACACAATTAAACTTGTGGGTCACTTCGACAGGTTTTCTTTCCGAATAAGGTAATTAATCTTTGATTTTCCTTTTCACACTTATTTGAAAAGGAAACATTGGAAAAGAGCAGTTTTACAGTAGAGTGATTCGTTGCGATTTAGCAAGTATGGAAAGAAATGTTATATCTGATCTCATAAGGTTTATACCTCTAATATTATTAAATTTATGACAGGCAATAGAATATATAATTATATTAGTGTTATAAGTATTAATGTGTAGCTCTTTCAGTCAAAGCAATTATTTCAATTAATCCTTGATTAGGCACTTTTGAAACGAACAGCCTTAGTGTTGTGTATCTGTGGTATACTCTATGGTCATAATATTATAGTCTATGGTGATAGATTATCTATGTGCGTGGTGGAGCCCGCGAATTTGTAAAACAATTGAAGACGTAATAAATGTGTGTCGATAGCCTTCTCTCTTTTTACTTATATTTCGTTTGATTTTATCATACTTAACACTTAGTCAATTAATTGCTTTCATCGTCATTTTTTAATCAAGGCTTTTAAAGTTTTTAATAGCTTTATTACTATTAGGAATAAAATAAAATAATCTAAAATTAATTATACTGTAAGGACTTAATGTTACATCCTGAGGGATGTAACATTAAGTCCAAAATCAGACCCAAATAAGCACCACTCAGGTAAGCCTGAGTGGTGCTTATTTGGGTCTGATTTTGGCCTTGATATTGTCACGATATTTATTTTGGGTAAGCGTGTAATTAATTAATTTCGGAAACTTACTAAAGTATGATTTGAATAATCTACAAACAAACCGGGTCTCGTTATAAAAGTTAGGTGGGGATAAAACGTCCGCGGGGGCTGTTCATTTCTATATTAAAATTTTAATAGGACTCAGAATCCAGAGCTTTTGAGATTAGATGGCGGTGTACGTTGCGCAGGTTTACCCGCCATGATGAAGGTACGCTCGATGACACAGCGCTTACCCTCACAAAAAATAATATTTATAGCCAATTTTCCGAAATCTGTTTTTAATTAAGTAGGTATTGAATATTCATAACAACGAAATCACGTTTTTATTTTTTTATTAAAAGTAGATAATCCAAAAATAATAGACACGAGTTGCAGTTACCTATTATACGTATTTGCGAGCAAACTGCAACT